TCATCAGTATCAGCATCAGCATCAGCATCATCATCAGCAGCAGCAGCACGAACATCATCATACTTTTCAACATCATCATCAGCATCATCACCACCCTCAGCATCATCATCCGCAGCATCAGCATCACCATTATCACAATCAACAGCATCATCAGCAGCATAAACATCATCATCAGCATCATCGGTATCAGCAGCATCAGTATCAGCATCAGCATCATCAGCATCATCATCAAAATCAGCATCATCATCAGCATCGTCATGATCATCGTCAGCATCGTTATCAGCATCAGCATCATCGTCCGCAGCATCATAACCATCAGCAACAGCCTCTTCATCAGCATGAGCAGCATCATCAGCGGCATCCGCATTGACACCATCATCAGCAGCAGCATCATCATCCTCAGCATTGTCATCGTCATCAGCATCAGCAGGAGCATCAGCATCATCATCATCATCATCATCATCCGCACCACCACCACCACCACCACCACCACCAGCATCTTCATCATTATCATCATCAGCATCAACACCATGAGCATCATCCTCACCAGAAGCAGCAGCATCATAAACACCATAACCATAATCCGCATCAGCATCATCATCAGCATCATCATAGTCATCATCATCATCATCATCATCATCGTCAGCATCATCATCATCATCATTATCATCATCATCATCATCATCAGCATCATCATCATCATCATCATTATCAGCATCATCACCAGCATCGTGATCATCATTCGCAACATCATCATCATCATCATCATCATCATCATCATCATCAGTATCATCATCATCATCATCATCATCATCATCATCATCATCATCATCATCATCATCATCATTACCATCATCATCATCAGCAGCATCAGCAGCATCTTCAGCATCGTATTCATCATCAGCAACAGAAGCAGCATCGCCTTCATCATTAGCATCAGCAGCAGCATAATCAGCAGCAGCAGCAGCTGCATCGTCATCATCATCAGCATCATCATCATCATCCAACTTATCCGCCTCCTTCTCCACCACCTCCTCCCCCTCGTCCACCACCTCCTCCAGCTAATCCTCCCACCTCATCCTTATCCTCCTCCTCATCATCGTCAGCATCATCACCATTATCAGCAGCATGATCCTCAGCATCATCATCATCGTCGTCGTCATCATCATCATCATCTGCATCAGCATCATCATCAGCATCATCATCAGCAGCATCATCATAACCATAGTTCTCATCATCCCCCTGCTCCTCCTCCTTTTCCTCTTCCTCCTCCTCCGCCTCCTCCTCTTCCTCATCCGCCTGCGTCCTCTTGCTGTTCCTCCTCCTCCTCCTCCTCCTCCTCCTCCTCCTCCTCCTCCTCCTCTTCCTCATCCCCCTCCTCCTCCAACTAACCTTCCCCATCCTCCACCACCTCCCCCTCCCTCCTTATTTCCCTTCTTTTCTCCCCATCCCTTCCTCCCTTCCTCACTCTCCCCCCCTCCCCCCCTCCCCTCTCCCTCCCCCTCCTCATCCTCCTCATCCTCCTCATCCTCCTCGACCTCCTCCTCGACCTCCTCGTCGACCTCCTCCTCGTCCTCCTCCTCCTCCTTCTCCTCCTCCTCCTCCTCCATTCCTTTTCCTTGTAAATAACTCCTCCCTGTCACACCCCGAGGTCCGTTGCTAGAGCGGGCCAGGCGTTTCGCTTGAGACCTCCTCACCGCTTATGACCCTGATGCATAAAAATTGGCCACTTTTACAAATGGAGGTTGGGTCGTTTTCAATAAGTGGTTCGCGCCCTAGCGCCGCGCACATTCGTTCCAAAAATATGTAAGAGTTTCACAGGTTGAGGGCGAGTCGTTTTCAGAATGCGGCTCTCGCCTGAGCGCCACGCACATTCGTTTCAAAAGAGGGTGGGCGCGAAATCCTCGTCGAAACCTAAGTTCGTCATGTTCAGATGGTACCCTCATTGGATTATTGGCCTGTGGATGGATCGGTGGCCTCCCCCCTCCCCGGATCATTTCCATTCCGGAATAATGTATCTGGGGTCGATATTCCGACATAATGAACCAGGGTTGATCCCAGTCCAATATCCTTCTCAGGCGCCCCCCACCGCCGGATCGTTATCATTCCGGAATAGTACACCTGAGTTAAACCTGAGTTCACTATTCCCACCCAGAACATTACGAACCCCAGTTTATGATGTGCTAGAGATAACGGACTAGGGTCAATAATCCAACAAAATGAATCCCAGCTTGGAGGCGCGGGGTTGGGGAAAATGAAAATGATAATCATTCTGGAATCATGAATCCAGATTCCGAATATCCCGCCTATGGCTCAGGCGACGTCCCTCAGCCTCCATTACTATCACTCCAGAATGATAAACCAGGGTTCGTTATTCCCGAGACATTATCAACCCCATTCAAAATTCCCAGAACATTATGAACCCAGGTTAATATCTTTTTGGGGTCGATATGCCCATAATAAACCTAGGTTTTCCGGGGGGAACGGTATGAACCCCAGCCAATATGCCCCACAGCATTAAAATCCAGGTTCATACTGTTCTGGGGGGGGCATTATGAACCCTGGTCAATAGCCCCGGAACATTCTAAACCCAGGTTAATATCTAAAATTTGCAAGACTTCCACGGATTTGGGGCGGCCCAGTTTCAACATGGGGTTCTCGCGTTCTCGCCTTAGCGCCGCGCACATTCGTTTTAAACTTTGCAAGAGTTTCACGGTTTCCCCTTATCAGCGTACCAGAAATGGCGTGTTGGAAGGATTCAGGATTATGAGGGTGACACAGAGGTTGATAAGCGGTGTTGACGTCCCAGGAATGGCGTTCTGGCACGATTCGGGATCGTCAAGACGCAACAGTCAGGTTGATCAATGGCGTTGGAATCCCGAGAACAATGTTTTGACATGCTTCACGGTCTTCAAGACATTTCTTCCATCGAGACATTTCCCTCAGTGGAAATGAGCCGCTCTAGGGGCTTATAAAAGAGAAAGCTCGGATGGAGGGATTGTTCCAACATCGTTGATGATTATTGGGTTTACACCGGTCCTCCTCCTCCTCCTCCTCCTCCTCCTCCTCATCATCATCATCATCATCAGCAGCAGCATCCTCATGCCCATACTCAAACTCATCCTCCATCCTGCTCCCTCCTCCTCCTCCTCCTCCTCCTCATCATCATCATCAGCAGCATCATCATCACCACCACCACCACCAGCATCATCATCGGCAGCAGCATCATGCTAGTCATCATCCTCAGCATCGTCATCATTATCAGCAGCACGATCCTCAGCATAATCATCATCATCGTCGTCATCATCAGCATATGCATCCGCATCGTCATTAGCATCATCATCATCATCATCATCATCATCATCATCATCATCAGCAGCAGCAGCAGCAGCATCATCCTCATCCTCATCCTCATCCTCATCCTCATCCTCATCATCATCATCATCATCATCATCATCATCATCATCATCATCATCATCATCATCATCATCATCATCGTAATCGTCATCGTCATTAACATCATCAGCAGCAGCAGCATCACAATCATCCTCTTCAGCATCACCATCATCATCAGTAGCAGCATCGTCGGAATCACCACCACTACCAACATCATCATCATCATCATCATCATCATCATCATCAGAAGCGTCGTCATAATCATCATCAGCATCATCAGAAGCAGCAGCATCATCATAAGCATCATCATGCTTAGCATCATAAGCATCATCATCATCAGCATCATCGTCATCATCAGCATCAGCATCATCATCATCGTCATCGTCATCGGAATCATCATCAAAATCAGCATCAGCATCATCATCATCAGCAGCATCATCATCCTCATCAGCAGCAGCATCATCAGCATCATCATCCCCACCACCACCACCACCACCAGTATCAGCATCATCATAATCAGAATCGTCATCATCAGCAGCAGCGTCGTCCTGGTCCTAATCCTCATCAGCATCATCATCATACTCATCCTCATTCGCATCCTCATCAACATCATCATCCCCATCCTCATCATCATCAGCATCATCATCCTAATCATCACCATCATCATCGTCGTCAGCATCAGCATCAGCATCAGCATCAGCATCTGCATCAGCATCAGCATCATCATCATCATCATCAGCAGCATCAGCATCATCATCATCATCATCATCATCATCATCATCATCAGCAGCATCATCATCGTCGTCAGCATCAGCATCAGCATCAGCATCTGCATCAGCATCAGCATCATCCTCATCATCAGCAGCAGCATCATCCCCCTCCTCGCCCTCCTCCTCCTCCTCCTCCGCCTCCTCCTCGTCCTCCGCCTCCTTCTCCTCGCCCTCCTCCTCCTCCTCCTCGACCTCGCCCTCCTCCTCCTCCTCCTCGCTCCTCCCTCCTCCCTCCTCCCTCCTCACTACTCACTCATCCTCCTCCTCCTCCTCCTCCTCCTCTTCCTCCTCCTCCTACTCCTCTGCTGCCGCCGCCGCCTCCTCCTCGGGGGGTGTCGACGGCACCTCGACGTCGGCGGCCAAACCGCTACAGGATCATCGCCGAGACCTGGGAGCGGCGGGGGTGGCGTCCCAGTGGGGATGAGGGGCAACGTGAGGGGAGTGGGGGGGAAAGCTCAGCGGGATAAAACTCAAGGAGGGAGCATCGACCGTGAGTGGGCGATACATCGCTGATAAGTCGGCGATTCGGCCCCCGATAGCAAATCCTCACGCTCCTGCGCAGGGTGGCCTGTCCGGTCCGTGTGGGCGACCAGTGGGCGATTTGGGGTCGATGCCCCCCCCGAAGCCTATCCCCCCTGGACGCTGCCCTTGGGAAGGAGGAGGAGGAGAAGGAGGAGGAGAGGAGGAGGAGGAGGAGGAGGAGGAGGAGGAGGAAGAGGAGGGGGAGGAGGACGAGGAGGAGGAGGAGGAGCCATCGTGCCATTCTCAAACCCGCCGCCGCTGGGTCGCGCGCCGCGCGTGGCTCGCCGCGGGTGCCTGGAACCGATGGCGCAGCAGCAGCGCCAGCTGCGACACGCCCTGGCTGCCGCCCGTGGGGCGGCGCTGGCGGCGCACTCGGCTGCGGGCCTGGCGCGGGGCGCGGCGGCGGCCTGCCGCCTGTTGCGCAACGCCGAGGGCCTCATCCGCGCGGCGGTGGCGGAGCTCGAGGCCGCGCGGCCTCGCCCGCCCGCCGCCAATGCTGGCGGAGACCCTGTGGAGCCGCCTGCTGCGCCAGCGGCGGCAGCTCCGCCTGAAGGCGCGGGCCCCGCGCCTCGGCGGAGGCGCCGACGCCGTGCGCGTCGCAGCATGGCTGGAGCCGCAGAGGAGCCGCTGGCCTTGATGGAGGGGGTGACGGAATTGGACGACGGCGACGACCTGGCCGACGACAGCTGGGCGGACGCCTTGGGCGGCCGTTCGGCTTCCGCAGGGCCTTCGGCCGCGGGGCCCGCCGTCCGCCCGCCTCCGAGGAGGCGTCCTGTGCAGTCGCCAGCTGGAGGCGCCGCCACCCCTCCGTCGGGCTCCCTCGACGTGCTGATCGACGAGGTCGTGGCGGCTGGGTTGTTCACTCGCGGCTTCGCCGTGATGATGGCGTCGGAGCCCCTGGGCGAGAGCGAGCTGTCGCGACTTCTTCGGGAGTCTCGGGCGGCGGCGGCGGGCAATGGCGGCAAGGGCGGCAAGAAGGGGCATCCGCCCCTCCGGCTGGCCTCGTAGCTCTTCGGCACGCTGCGCTCCCTCGTCTGAATCCGTTCGCTTTTTTCTCGTTGCTCGGGGAGAGTGGCTTCGACACTCTCTTCCATGGAGTACAGTACAGTACAGAGGAGGAGGAGGAGGGCAGGGGGCAGACCTCCGCGTCCAGCGGGGGGGCGAGACTCGGGCGTGGGGCGGCTGGCCTCGGGCAGGCCGGGGAGCCGTCAACCGAAAGCACGGACTGGCAGCATGAAGAAAGTGGCCCTAGGGGTCCCGGGGGGGAGGAGGAGGAGGAGGAGGAGGAGGAGGAGGAGGAGGAGGAGGAGGAGGAGGAGGAGGAGGAGGAAGAGGAGAAGCAGGAGGAGGAGGAGGAAGAAGGAGGGGAAGGGGAAGAGGAGGAGGAGGACTAGTGCAAACCCAAAACTCATCAACGATTTTGTAAGAAACCCTCCCTCCGAATTCCCTCTTCATAAGCCCCTACAAGGGTTCCTTTTCATTGAAGGAAGTGCCCCGTTGGAAAATCCGGAACTGTGCAGAACACCATTTCCGGGACTTCAACGCCGCGAATCACTGTTACGTTTTGACGATCCGGAACCGTGCCAGAACACCATTGCTGGGACTTCAACTCCGCGAATCAACGTAACTGATGCGCCCTGACATTCCAGCATCGTGCCAAGACATTATTTCTGGGGCGTTCACCATGATAATCCGTGAAACGGCTGGAAACTCTTAAAACGAATGTGCGCGGCGCTTTCGAACTTTTAGACCGAATGTGCGCGGCCCTGAAGCGAGAGCCACGTTTTGAAAGCGGACCGCCATCCATCCGTGAAACTCTCGCGAATGCTTAAGACAAATGTGCACGGCGCTAAGGCGAGAGCCGCATTTTGAAAACGGGCCGCCCTCCATCCGCGAAACTCTTTGCAAATGTTTAAGACGAGTGCGCGCGGCGCTAAAGCGAAAGCCACAATTTGAAAACCACCCACCCTCCATCCGTGAAACTGTTGCAAACGCTACGCTTCAGGATCGTAATAATAGTAGGGAAGTCTCAGGCGAAACGCCAAGCCCGCCCTTTCGACCAGCCTCGGGGTGCGACTGGGTGGAATAATGTAGAAGAAAGAGGGTTGGAGGAGAAGAGAGGAGGGAGGAGGAGGAGTACGAGAAGGAGAAGAGGAGGAGAAGGAGGAAGCGGAGGAGGAGGAGGATGGAGGAGAAGAGGAGGAGGAGGAGGAGGAGGGAGGAGGAGGGAGGAAGAAGGGAGGAGGGAGGAGAGAGGAGGGAGGAAGAAGGAGGGAGGAAGAGGGAAGGGGGAGGAGGGAGGGAGGGCGGGTGGGCGGGAGGAGGGGGGAGGGAGGGAGGGAGGGAGGGTGGGGCGGAGGTAGATTAGACACGTCTCAGCTAGGACGAGGAGGAGGGAAGCCGCTAGGGCACCTGCGCCCCGCGCAGCCAGAGCAGATACCCCGGTGGCTAGGCTCCCGCACCCCCCGTCCAAGCCTAAGAAGCACAGCCAGGGAGGGAGGAGTGAAGGAAGGAGGAGGAAAAAAGGAGGGAGGAGGGAGGAGGGAAGGAGGGAAGGAGGGAAGGAGGGAGGGGGGAGGGAGGAGGGAAGGAGGGAGGAGGGAAGGAGGGAAGGAGGGAGGAGGAAGGAGGAGGGAGGGAAGGAGGGAGGAAGGGAGAGGGGAGGGAGGAGGGAGGGAGGGAGGGAGGAGGGAGGGAAGGAGAGAGGAGGCCCAGGGGCTGGCGACCCCAGCAGCTCGGGCCCTGTCGTCGCTCCGGCGGGCGACGGGGTCGGAGGCCACGGGCCTTCGCACGAGGCTCAGAAGGCCTCGGATCGTCCCAGAAGAGCGCTGAGCCTTCTCCGAATCCACGGGGGGCTTATGAGAAGGCCAGAGGGCTTCCAGGGGCTCCCGACTTCGCGCTTCGCGCTGCGCGGAGCGCGAAGTGCGAATGGCTTCGCGCTCTCGCGCCGCCTCCCAGGGGGGAGGAGGAGGAGGAGGAGGACGAGGACGAGGAGGAGGAGGAGGAGGAGGAGAAGGAAGAGGAGGAAGAGAAGTCGGAGCCGAACCGCGAAGCGCGAAGCGCGAGTAACTTCGCGCCCTCGAGGGCGCCCTCGGCTTCTGAGAAGAAAGACAACCTCCCGAGAAGGCCTGCCCTCCTCTCGCCGCCCCCTCGGCGCGGAGGCGGGTGCTGGACCCCAGGACGCTTCCCAGGCCCAGCTTTTCATCCTGGACCGATCTTGAATACGATGCGAGGAAACCATCAGCGTGATACTGCTCACGAGACGGAATCGAAGGAGAAATGCGGCGATGGGCTCCCGACAGCGGCATGTGATTGATACTCGGTTCGCCTCCCAAGCACTCCTTGGGCCAGGAAGGGCACTGAAGACCGAAAGCGGCGAAAAGCCTGAGAGCCCATTTCAGTTTGGAGCCGTGCTCTCTCAGGACCCTTTTGCTTCGTGGTAGCGCAAGCACCCTTAGAGATAGTCCCTCCCCGGTTTGGCTGCCCAACGATCTGAGTTTCCGCCTATGCGTTTGAAACGGCACCAAACCCAGGTGCCTCAAAAATCATAGTGTCATCCTTCTCGTGACCTCCTCCTGGGTCTTGCTTGTGACACAGCAGACGCGCGGGAAAGGACGCCCCCTCATGCTCCTCCTCCTCATCATCTTCTTGTTGTTCTTCTCATTAGTTTAGTATTACTAAATTCTTCTTACGTTTCAAAGTGTTATTCGTATTATCTTTAGTCATATTATTAATATGATTAGCGTTCGCATTGCTATTAAGATTCGTCGCCTGTTTCGTATTATTCGTATGCGTCTTCTTCTTATTATTCTTATGTTTGGTTGTCGTCTTCTTCTGTTTATGATTCTTTGCCTTCTTATGATTATAATTATTCGCTTTCCTCGTCCTCCTCCTCCTCCTCCTCAACCTCCTCCTCCTCCTCCTCCTCCTCCACCCTCCTCCTCCTCCTCCTCCTGCTCCTCCCTCACGCGCCCGCCTGACTCTGGTACGCCTCCGGCACGGTGACCCTGGCAGGGGCCGCGGGTGCGGAAGGCAAAAAAGTGCGCCTCCAGCACTCTCGCTCCTGCGGCCTCTCGAAAGCGAGGAAGGCCAACAGGGAGGGACTGGAGAGGAAGGAAGGGAGAGAACGATTGGGGCCAAGGACACACAAATTGATACACATGGATCCCCGGATTCCCAACATTTCCTCATATGTCTGAATCGTCGTCATCCCCTTCGCTTCCCAAGTTTCCAGTATTTGTCCGGTGAATCGACGTGTATTTGTGTTTGTACCTATTTTCCCCTCCTGGGGAAGGGAGGGTGCGCAAGAGGGGGGGGGGAGGAGGGGAAGGGGGGAGTTATCTCGCGAGGGGAAAGGGCGGAGGGGGGAGCTCAAGGCGGGCACCCTGCCCTGGAGGGCGTGTCGTGGGGCCGGAAGTCGTTGCGGGGCGCGCCCACGCTGCGGGCAAGAGTTGGAGCCGCCGGGTAGCTCCCAGGCGGAGACGGGGGAGGGAGGGTTTCTAGATACTGGTAGGGAACCGAACTAAATACATCGACGTTTTTTCCCGGCCTGGCACTGACACTTGCACAGGAGAACGGATCCTGGTGTATACGGAATCCTGGTGTATACATGTTTCGATGTTTCCTTGGAGGCGGAAAAATACATACCACACCACCCCGACGTCGTCCCCGACCCTCGAGAAATCCTGGGATTGAGAAACAACACGCCAATGGTCATGCAAGACCACCCCAACCCAAACCGAAGACCCGAATCTCGAGTTGGGGGGTATGGGTTCCACACATGTGTTTTGTCAGTGTTCCCCGACGCCCCCTTTGACGCCTCCGGTTTGGGTTCGGGTGGTTTGGAGGCCTCCTGGATGGGGTCGGAGTAGATGGGGTCGGAGGATCGCGGCGCATCGCCGACACATCGGCGATGCATCGGCGATGCATCTGCGACGCATCGGCGATGCATCGTCGACGTCGGCGATGCATCGGTGACGCCGACGTGAAGCGAACTGGGCTGCACATCGAGCCGCATCGGCGACGCATCGGCGATGCGGCGCGATCCTCCGACACCATCTACTCCGACCCCATCTAGGAGGCCCAGATGGTTTGGTGGGTGGTGATGGGCGGGCGACTGAGCAAAGTCCTACGGGCCCTGAGGGTACCCTTCCACGGCGCGCGCGACGACGGCCGGCCGACAGTCGACGACGCACGACGGCGGGGGACGAGAGACGGGAGGACGCGGCGAGGCTGGAAAAGCCCCCCCCTCGGGGAACTAAGGGGCCAGGCGAGCATCGTTCCACCGATCCGTATCCTCACTGGCGTGGGAGGAGGAGGAGGAGGAGGAGGAGGAGGAGGAGGAGGACGAGGACGAGGACGAGGACGAGGACGAGGAGGAGGAGGAGCGCAGCGACTCTCGCGCGTCGCCCGCCGGCCGCGCTGGCGCGCGCCCGACGGACTACGCCGAGGCGCCCTCACACCACGATGGCGGAGAGGGCAAGGTGGAAGAAAGTGCGGAGGAAGGACGAGTCAAGGAAGATCCCGCCCAGCATGAAGTAGGAGAGCAACACGGAACCGCAGGCGAAGCCAGTGACGGGGAGGGCGTAGACGTCCTCCTTCGTGTGACCCACAACCCAGACAAGTCACCCACCCAGGTAACGAGCATGAAGGAAACAGCAACAAATCAGACACGTGTGTAATGTTGCCACTCGTCGAGCGGATGGAAGGTCATGTTGACACCTCCCTCCAGCGGGAGGTCCCAGGCAACGAGCGCCCCGAAGACCTCCTCGTTGCTGCACGTCCCGACATTGTAGTCGACCTTGTGCACGGTGCCGCACAAGCCGACAGGGATTTGGTGGAGACGAGGGCAGCCACGGCGTCGCTTACCTGGCACTTCTGTCTTCAGATTACCGCTGACTTGGACCCTCATGTCTTCGCGGAGTACCTGGCACGCGCCGTCTTTGCGGTCAGACTCGCCATGGGCTGTCTGGACCGTCTTCGGTTCGCTGTTTTGCCGCAGGCTGTCAGTGGCTCCAGGGGTGGACCCAAAAGCACCAGTCAACGAACCAGCAGCGGTAGCTCCTGAGGCCAGCTCGCGGCGTGCAGCCTCAGATAGAAAGCAGCCCTCAAAT